GTTCCCCCACTTAAAATGATGACAGAGGTCAGTAATTTGCACCAGAGGTACACTTCAACTGTGAGAGACAGAATGTGAAAAAAAAATCCATGAATCCACATGGTAGGATTTGTAAAGAATTTATTCGTAAATCAGGGTGGAAAATAAGTATTTGGTCACCTCAAACAAGGAAAATCTCTGGCTCTCACAGACCTGTAACGTCTTCTGTAAGAAGCTTTTCTGTCCCCCACTCGTTACCTGTATGAATGGCACCTGTTTGAACTCATCATCTGTATAAAAGACACCTGTCCACAGCCTCAAACAGTCAGACTCCAAACTCCGCCATGGCCAAGACCAAAGAGCTTTCGAAGGACACCAGGAAAAGTATTGTAGACCTGCACCAGACTGGGAAGAGTGAATCTACAATAGGCAAGCAGCTTGGTGTGAAAAAATCAACTGTGGGAGCAATCATCAGAAAATGGAAGACATACAAGACCACTGATAATCTCCCTCGATCTGGGGCTCCACGCAAGATCTCATCCCGTGGGGTCAAAATGATCATGAGAACGGTGAGCAAAGATCCCAGAACCACACGGGGGGACCTGGTGAATGACCTGCAGAGAGCTGGGACCAAAGTAACAAAGGTCACCATCAGTAACACACTACAACGGCAGGGAATCAAATCCCGCAGTGCCAGACGTGTTCCGCTGCTGAAGCCAGTGCATGTCCAGGCCCGTCTGAAGTTTGCCAGAGAGCACATGGATGATACAGCAGAGGATTGGGAGAATGTCATGTGGTCAGATGAAACCAAAGTAGAACTTTTTGGTATAAACTCAACTCGTCGTGTTTGGAGGAAGAAGAATACTGAGTTGCATCCCAAGAACACCATACCTACTGTGAAGCATGGGGGTGGAAACATCATGCTATGGGGCTGTTTTTCTGCCAAGGGGACAGGACGACTGATCCGTGTTAAGGACAGAATGAATGGGGCCATGTATCGTGAGATTTTGAGCCAAAACCTCCTTCCATCAGTGAGAACTTTGAAGATGAAACGAGGCTGGGTCTTCCAACATGACAATGATCCAAAACACACCGCCCGGGCAACAAAGGAGTGGCTCCGTAAGAAGCATTTGAAAGTCCTGGAGTGGCCTAGCCAGTCTCCAGACCTCAACCCCATAGAAAATCTGTGGCGGGAGTTGAAAGTCCGTGTTGCTCGGCGACAGCCCCAAAACATCACTGCTCTCGAGAAGATCTGCATGGAGGAATGGGCCAAAATACCAGCTACTGTGTGCAAACCTGGTAAAGACCTATAGTAAACGTTTGACCTCTGTTATTGCCAACAAAGGTTATGTTACAAAGTATTGAGTTGTATTTTTGTTATTGACCAAATACTTATTTTCCACCCTGATTTACCAATAAATTCTTTACAAATCCTACCATGTGGATTCATGGATTTTTTTTTCACATTCTGTCTCTCACAGTTGAAGTGTACCTCTGGTGCAAATTACTGACCTCTGTCATCATTTTAGGTGGGGGAACTTGCACAATCGGTGGCTGACTAAATACTTTTTTGCCCCACTGTATGTACATGCTGGCTGAAATAACACAAACACGTTGTGTTCTGATAGAAATAAGATAAGCTAATACATATTAAGAAGGTCAAGAAGTTTCTTTCATGTGGACTTCGCTATGAGTTTAATTTCCAGCTGTCTCAGTTTTCATGTTTTTTTTTTTTTTCAGATGACAGGTTAATAATTTACATTAAAAAAAAACAAAAATAAAAGGAAAGGAAACAAAATGCACTATTTGACTGTTTTAATGTTTTCTAGGGTCCCTGTCAGTCTCGGGGCCTTAGAATCTATCACGTTTCTCCCCAAGGTATTCAGATTAGCATCTTTGAACCTACAAAACGTTGAACCTTAAGCAGATGGGCTACAGCGGCAAAACATTACACCAGCTGCTGTTCAGGTAAATACAACTGAGGCTGCAACTTGGACAAGCTCACTGACAGTGTTGGGGAGTAACGGAGTACATGTACCGGCGTTACATATTTAAAATACAAAATATGAGTAACTGTATTCTGTTACAGTTGAAATTAACGGATTGCACGGCAGTATTTTCCTGTTTCATATGTTCGGCTATGCTCTCTCTTTTCTGATAATTCCACGCTGTTGGAAACCCAAACAAAACACGCATTAAGAGGCTCTAATGTCTGTGTCCCAATCTCGCGGCCCATGTCACCCCTACTTGCGACCCGCATAATGGCGTGAAGAAATATTTTTTAAAATTTATTGTTCAAAAATTATTTAACATGAAGGCAATAGGCAGAGTGTTACAGGCGTAGCCCTAAAGAATGCAGCCTCATGGGCAGTGTAGTCCAGTTGTAAGTAAGCTATTAAGACTCGGCTGTACGCTATGTTCCTGTTTTCCTCTGAAACAATAAGCTTCGTTGGAGCAGCCTTTCAACTCCTCTCTCTGTCTCTGCTAGCAAAGTTGACCCAGACAACAAAGTAAAGCTAGTTTTCAGCTACGAGCCCGACACGAACCCGACGTATTAGCCAGAGGTCCCTTTACTACGGTTCGGAGCCGCGGACCTGTTTTATATACGCACAGAATAGTTTTCTATACGAGATCACTGCAAAAAGTGCAGCCTTACCTAATGTCCACCTACTGTTACTCATTTATATTAAGATTTAAACATCTAGTTGGTGTTGGTATGGAGAGTAACCTCGTCATAGTAATAAATCACACAGCAATAGTACATTCATGTAGTTGTAAAAAGCATGCTAATATATTAAGTAATCCAAAGTATTCAGAATACCTTACTCTCATTGAGTAACGTAACAGAATACATTACAAAATACATTTTGGGGCCTGTAATCTGTAATCTGTAGTGGAATACATTTAAAAGTAACCTTCCCAACACTGCTCACCAAAACTGGACAAAATAATACTGGAAAAAAACAGGAGGGTCACAATTAGGCCTCGTATCATCAGTTCAGGCTGCTAGTGTTGCAGAGGCATGCACTGTTTCTGGCTTCCTCTTTGAACACAGTTGTTTCGGTTTCTTAAGTAGAGTGGGATATTTGTATCATGGATATGCAGTCGATAAACACTCTGAGTAATGTGAAAGAACGTTTCCAGCACATTTTTGAATCTACATCACAGTGAGTTGACACTTGTATAAACAGAAAAGGGGGTCCAAACAAGTACTGGCAAGGTGTACCTAACAACATGACTGAGTATATGTCAAGCTTTTTATCAAAGAAACAAAAAAATGCTTTGTTAAATATATTTTTTAAACATATTTTCCCCAGCTGTTTCATAAATAAATTAGGGTATGATCTGCAGTGTTTAGTTAAGTTGAATCTGCCTTGAACTAAGGTTTCCCAGCAGAACTTTGCAAAGAGATAAATGATGTTGTTGACTTCACGAGTCAGTGTGGTGATGCATGCTCAGTAATCCAGGTAAGGATATTCCAGAAGGAGTTTCTGTTCACTTGGATCATTGTTTTAGTATTACCACCAGTGTGTTAGAATTCAAAGATGACAGTAAATTTGAGAATGCCCTGCAGTTCAACAGATACAAGAACAAGCAGAACAGAGGGAACAATGTAGGTAACACACTGTAGAAGACAAAGGTATCAAAACAAAGGCATGCTGTTAGGCATGTTTGGAGCGCTCGTATGTGCTGAGGAACAGTCTAGCATTTTAGCTCACAAGCTGTGAGATCTGTAAAACATAGCAAAGCAATGTGTGTCCTAATTGTTTTGGCCTTTCACATAGTCAGGTGATGAGTGGGGGTAGCAAATGAATCCCTTTTCCAGATGAACCACAGAGAGAGAAATGGATACAAGTAAACATATAACCTGAAAGTAATTCATTGTAAATTCTGTATGTGGTTGGGTTTTACAATGCTGGCTTTGTTTAAATATATATTTTTAAGAGAGACGTGTTGAAATAAAGGTTTACTAGTCAAATATTTAAGTCATTAAGAACATGACTTTAAATCCTAGAACCACCTCGTTTTTAATGATTAAAGCAATAAACATACAAGAAAGAATAAGTGTGTGGATAGCTGATACTAAATATGTTTAGCTAGGACTTATATATACAGTAAACTTTTCATTGTTGCTGATTCAGCTTTATGATCATTTTGGAGGATGAAGAACCTCTCATAAAAAAGCGCGACGTATAATTCCCTCTTGCCCCTCTGGGCTGTCTTTATCCTTCACACTCAGGTCCTGTGCAATTTGTTGTTCTGGACAGAAATCCTAGCTGTTGTTCCTGGGAACAACAGCTAGCCCCCTAGTCACTCGCCTAGCTTGGGAATTACTGCACCGAGTTCTCTGGTTACTACTGGGACCACTTTGCCTTCACCTGCCATGTCTTCTTCTTCTTCTTCTCTTGGTCTTTAATATTTCTCAATTTTTTTTTGTCTTTTTTCCTGATATCGCTATCATTCGGTATAGCTGCATCGATCACTACGGCCGTCTTCTTCTGTTTGTCTACCACCACTATGTCCGGTTGGTTAGCCACCACCATTTTGTCCGTCTGTATCTGTGTTGCACCTTTCTGCAGCTCTAGTTTCTGTGTGTGTGTGTGTGTGTGATGCGGGTTAGTGACCACACTCGAATCGGCCGTGTAGACGTGTGTGTGTTGCGTGTGTGTTGATGCCTCGTTTCATTGTGCGTGAGCGCAGAAAATTCACGTTCCATCTGTTGCCTCGTGCGTGTTGTGTGCGTCGGCATCTCAGGTATGGGCAGCTTGCTGTACTTCTTAGGCACCCTTCTTCATTTACACCTTTCTGAGCTCTAGTTTCTGTGTGTGTGTGTGTGTGTGTGTGTGTAACTGTTTTGCACTATAATTTACTCATAAAAGAGTTCATTTAAAAAAAATCAATTTTCATGAATTTTTTGATAAATAATTTTTCCTTCATCCTTTATTCTATAGTAAGAAATATATAAATACCACGAGAGATAAAATATGTACTAAACATACACTTTACTCAAAGTTCTTTCCTTTTCTTTTATATATAGAATATATTTGGTAGAAAAGATTGTGGTCAAATGCTTCAAAAATAATTTGATAATAACACATCTCAATATAATGTCAGAAAGGCAGCTTTCCTGGTAACACAGTCGGATATCTACACACAATCTCAGGCAGCACCTGGCACAATGTTTCCCACAACACCAACACCTATCTCACTGAGTATGAAGAATGTGAAATATGAGACGAATGTTTCTGTGTAATTCCATATGTATCCGTTTGAAGACAGACTGTCATCCACCCATTTTCTTAAACACTTCTCCAACTATAGAATTATTCCTTAGTCTCTGGACTTTTTGTACTGAAATATATCTTCACCATAACACATGAAGGTAAAACTGTTTACATAAAATAAATAAATGTAATATTGTTTCTTAAGGAATATTGTAAGTTTTCATTAAATCCAAATTAGACGACAAAGTCATTAATATTCTATTGTACCTGTGGCTGACAATGGAGCATAGTAGAATCATAAACTATGCTCCTATAATTAAGGTTAACCATTAGGTGAAGCAGCTAACTAAGGCACAACATGCTTAAATACAGTGTTATAACCAATAAAGTATTTGCTAAGGTAAAAAGTGGACCTGGTTTACATTGGATAATCAGGCATCATTAGAACGATGGTTGACCTTTTCTTTGGCTCTTCGTCTGGCTCGCTCCAGTTCAGCCATCATGGGTAGGGGACCCTCATACATGTTGGTCTTGATTGCTCGAAGTTTCTCCTGGTAGTCTTTTGGCAAGCCGTTCTGTTCTGCTCCCATTACAATCACCTGCAGTAATTGATGAGAATATATTTGTTATAACCATGACAGCAGCCACAAATGTCAGTTGTCAACTGTCTTCAGTGTAATAAAGCAAGAGTGAGCTTCCTATAACTTTTAGGTATACCCATTGACCTGTTTCAGGGCTCTAGACTAACTTTTTGCCATGGGCGTACCGGCACGCCTAACTTTAAAAAGTTAGGCGTACCGGCACAAAAGTTAGGCGCACACAAATTTTATAATAATTTATATAATATAATGTGTTTTTCTGGATACACTGTGCTTTTTCAGCATTCAAAGATTGATGACACCGTGTCAGAGCACTGGCTATGAATTTCAGAAGGATCAGGCCTTAACTTAACAGAAAAGTTAGCAATAGTTCTTTTCCTATTACAGCTACATCCACTTCTGTCGTGCCTAGGCTGCTCACTAGGGCTGGGTATCATCACTGATTTCTATAATCCATTCGATTCCGGTTTTCAAAGTCCCGATTCGATTCAACTTAGCCTCAGACAGTCAGAAATATTATAATTCTGATCATTTATCAGTACTGACTTCATCAGAATTGTGAACATCACAGCAGATGCCTTTGTGTGAAAGTAACTGAGAATAAAACAGAAAAACATGAAGGAGATTTTCCTGGTCTGGCTTTTTATAGCAGATAACCTTAAAAATATTCTACAATGTTCTGCATATAAAGTTTAAATTTCTTCAGTATTGAACAACAGAAAAAACAGGCTTTCTTGTCCGAGGTCATTTAAGTGAAAAAGAAAAGAAAAAGACAGCAGCCACAGCGCTGTAAACAACGGTAGACTGGTGGGTAATAAGCCAATGAATAATACAGAAAACAGAGATTGGAGACGGAAACTGTTCTTGAAGTACAGAGAGAGAGAGAGAGAGCTAGCTGTGCATGGATGTGATTTTAATAGTCGTGGAAGCAAAACAGCAAAATTCATGACGACATTGATCAAATGTGAAGCGCAGTTTGCTGCTTCTTTTGCTGCTGGCTCGTGAATTTTGGTTGGAGAGACAAAACCTGCAGCTCAGAATCAGCGCAAAAAGACGTAATCACAGCGCGGACCGGACGCATCAGGATCGCTGAGCTCCGACAGCGTGTCCGTCTGCGGGCCGTCGGGTGAGAAAGCCGAGAAAGACAAAGCTGATTCTGATGCGTCGGGTCTGTGTTTACGTCTTTGTGTGGAGTCCGTGTACCTGCTCTCATCTGCTGTTTGGTTGTTGTTGAAATGGTTTTGTGAGCTTTAATCTGAGAATCTGGCGTTTCTGGCAAAACACAGTTATATTTAAAAGTCGATTCAGGATTTAATGAATTGATATCGCTTTATTCAAGCTACTCACCTCCCACTTCCACCTGCACTTTCAACTGGACCACGGCCAATCAGAGAGGTCCCGCCCCTTACTATCTCTGATTGGTTTAGTCCACGATAGGGGCAAAATGTGTGTCTGTTGTTGACCACAGGGAAGGTTGCAGATTTTTTTTTTTTTTTTTGCTACCCGAACAGTTGGTCGCACAGGTGCAACCAAATATTTTTTTAGTCGCACCACTGAAAAATTTGGTCGCATTTGCGACCAAATTGGTCGCACTCTAGAGCCCTGTGTTTGTAACACAAATATCTAATCAGCTAATCACAGGCACACGGACACAATCTCTATGTCAACACAATCTTATGAAGTTCTAACCACACATTTGAATGAGAAAGAAAGGCGATTTAAGGAAGTTTGACTATGTCATGGTTGTTCGGACGGGCTGGAGTTTTCCAAAGATGGCTAATCTACTGGAATTTGTCAGCACAACCATTAGTGATGTGCGATTCCACTGATTTCCTTTCCGATCCAATACCAAGTAAAATTCTGTACAAAAACTTATTGTTTCATTGTATTTCATAATACAGTATATAATATATTATGAAATTGTAATAACAGGGCTTCATAATGATTAGACAACATCAGACTACTTGTTGTTATTGCTTAATAATGCAGAATTATCGTATAGAAATAAAAAACCTGAAGTTGTGTGCTAGTTGAACACGTTGCCTGCAGCACTAAAGGACTCCGCCAGAGACGTCTGTCTCGCCCTAGCAGCACCTGTCATGTCACCTCAACATAAGCTCATCATATTCTGTGATGTCATTTAGTCTGAGGTGTTTGACGAGGTTAGTGGTCTTGCCACATGTATCGCAAACCATGTCTTGGCTGTTTGTGGAGGTAAAATACGTCCACACATGACTCCGTTTACGCTCAGCCATTGTTGTGAATGCGCACGCCAAGAGGCTGCAACACATTCGCATATGACTATGAAAGGTGTAAGAGGAAGTAGTTCCTTCCAATTTAGACGATCTGAATGATATAGTTTCTTTCCACTGTGTTCCTGTTAATGAAAAACTACAAATTTACCCCAAAGTACTAAAATATCGATATTTTAATATGAGAATCGATTCTAGAACAGACAAGGCAGCAAGGCAAGGCAAGGCAAGGCAAGGCAAGTTTATTTGTATAGCACAATTCAACAACAAGGTGATTCAAAGTGCTTTACAGAGACATTAGAAACAAGAACAAATAAAAAGCATGATTTAAAATTGATTAAAACAAGCAAACTAACTAACTAACTAATTAACAAACAAACAAACAAACAAACAAACAACAGTATATAAAATCAATATTTCAATATCAATCCGCACACCACTAACAACCATCTGCACCGTTCACAAGAATGGACCAAAAAAGAGAAGATATCCTGGGAGTGGTAGTTCTAGGTGTAAAATGCTTTATTGATGCCAGAGGTCAGAGGAGAATGGGCAAATTGGGTTGAGCTGATCAGAAGGCACCAGTAACTCAAACAACCACTTATTACAGCCGTGGCCCTGTGAAATAAAAAATGTCACTTTAGGGCCCAACACGTTAATATTGCAAACCACGCTACGCCTAAAAATACTGTGCATGAATCAATATTTAACCTAAAGAGATGTTTTTGATTGTGTGAAAGACTGACGAGATGTGTGGAGGCCATCGTTGCATTTTAATATTATTTTCATAACACTATTATATTTTCTATTTTTACTAACATTGATTGGTACTTTACACCAAACACAAATGAAATACATCTGAACTTTTTAGATGGAAGTAAATTTAAAATCGTATTTATAAAATTGCGTACATTTTTTTTTACTTCATTCTTTTATTTATAATATTAAGTATTGGCAAATATAACTTAAATAAGCCATTGGAAATGAATTACAGCCAACTAAAATACGTCTCTGTTCTGAGTCCTAGTGAAACTCAAATAGGCTTTAAATAAATTTAGCTTACTGAAAGCTCTCAACACCTGCAAGAATTACATGCAGAGTGCAAAATATAAGCAGAGCAGTACACACTTCTTCAAATATCAGTGGGCTGGTTCAGTGTCAGGAAGATGGAAGTGAGACAGCTTAGCGTGAGCCAGAGGTTTGATCTGTTTGGCCTGTAAGCAGGTCGACAGATAAGTGATTTAGTATACATACAGTGGGGCAAAAAAGTATTTAGTCAGCCACCGATTGTGCAAGTTCCCCCACTTAAAATGATGACAGAGGTCAGTAATTTGCACCAGAGGTACACTTCAACTGTGAGAGACAGAATGTGAAAAAAAAATCCATGAATCCACATGGTAGGATTTGTAAAGAATTTATTCGTAAATCAGGGTGGAAAATAAGTATTTGGTCACCTCAAACAAGGAAAATCTCTGGCTCTCACAGACCTGTAACGTCTTCTGTAAGAAGCTTTTCTGTCCCCCACTCGTTACCTGTATGAATGGCACCTGTTTGAACTCATCATCTGTATAAAAGACACCTGTCCACAGCCTCAAACAGTCAGACTCCAAACTCCGCCATGGCCAAGACCAAAGAGCTTTCGAAGGACACCAGGAAAAGTATTGTAGACCTGCACCAGACTGGGAAGAGTGAATCTACAATAGGCAAGCAGCTTGGTGTGAAAAAATCAACTGTGGGAGCAATCATCAGAAAATGGAAGACATACAAGACCACTGATAATCTCCCTCGATCTGGGGCTCCACGCAAGATCTCATCCCGTGGGGTCAAAATGATCATGAGAACGGTGAGCAAAGATCCCAGAACCACACGGGGGGACCTGGTGAATGACCTGCAGAGAGCTGGGACCAAAGTAACAAAGGTCACCATCAGTAACACACTACAACGGCAGGGAATCAAATCCCGCAGTGCCAGACGTGTTCCGCTGCTGAAGCCAGTGCATGTCCAGGCCCGTCTGAAGTTTGCCAGAGAGCACATGGATGATACAGCAGAGGATTGGGAGAATGTCATGTGGTCAGATGAAACCAAAGTAGAACTTTTTGGTATAAACTCAACTCGTCGTGTTTGGAGGAAGAAGAATACTGAGTTGCATCCCAAGAACACCATACCTACTGTGAAGCATGGGGGTGGAAACATCATGCTATGGGGCTGTTTTTCTGCCAAGGGGACAGGACGACTGATCCGTGTTAAGGACAGAATGAATGGGGCCATGTATCGTGAGATTTTGAGCCAAAACCTCCTTCCATCAGTGAGAACTTTGAAGATGAAACGAGGCTGGGTCTTCCAACATGACAATGATCCAAAACACACCGCCCGGGCAACAAAGGAGTGGCTCCGTAAGAAGCATTTGAAAGTCCTGGAGTGGCCTAGCCAGTCTCCAGACCTCAACCCCATAGAAAATCTGTGGCGGGAGTTGAAAGTCCGTGTTGCTCGGCGACAGCCCCAAAACATCACTGCTCTCGAGAAGATCTGCATGGAGGAATGGGCCAAAATACCAGCTACTGTGTGCAAACCTGGTAAAGACCTATAGTAAACGTTTGACCTCTGTTATTGCCAACAAAGGTTATGTTACAAAGTATTGAGTTGTATTTTTGTTATTGACCAAATACTTATTTTCCACCCTGATTTACCAATAAATTCTTTACAAATCCTACCATGTGGATTCATGGATTTTTTTTTCACATTCTGTCTCTCACAGTTGAAGTGTACCTCTGGTGCAAATTACTGACCTCTGTCATCATTTTAGGTGGGGGAACTTGCACAATCGGTGGCTGACTAAATACTTTTTTGCCCCACTGTATGTACATGCTGGCTGAAATAACACAAACACGTTGTGTTCTGATAGAAATAAGATAAGCTAATACATATTAAGAAGGTCAAGAAGTTTCTTTCATGTGGACTTCGCTATGAGTTTAATTTCCAGCTGTCTCAGTTTTCATGTTTTTTTTTTTTTCAGATGACAGGTTAATAATTTACATTAAAAAAAAACAAAAATAAAAGGAAAGGAAACAAAATGCACTATTTGACTGTTTTAATGTTTTCTAGGGTCCCTGTCAGTCTCGGGGCCTTAGAATCTATCACGTTTCTCCCCAAGGTATTCAGATTAGCATCTTTGAACCTACAAAACGTTGAACCTTAAGCAGATGGGCTACAGCGGCAAAACATCACACCAGCTGCTGTTCAGGTAAATACAACTGAGGCTGCAACTTGGACAAGCTCACCGACAGTGTTGGGGAGTAACGGAGTACATGTACCGGCGTTACATATTTAAAATACAATCAGTTATATCGTTATTGCAAATTTTCAAATGTGTATCGTGATAAATATTTTTGGTTATATCGCCCTGCTCTAGTATGCATGAATCATTTTGGGGTCTTGTGCTGTCCAAGTCTTCATATTGGAGACTCTTTCTTGGATGTCTGCCACTGTGATGGTTACTGGTCCCTGTTCAGGGAGCTTGCTGTGGTCTGCTCTTAGATTGACTAGCCCCTGAGTTGCTGTTATGAGTTGCATCCTTCTTCCATATGCTCTTCTAGTATTGCTCCGTCTCAACCAATGTTAGAGCTGCTGTTCTCATTTTGTTCCCCTGCCACTGAGAGTACACCTTGGATGGTTCAGCGGAAAACATCTGGTTTATTCTCCTGCCTTCGATCTCTCTGGTATTCCCCTTCAAACGCCTGGCCAAGGCTATGAGTCTTTGCTCGGTAGTTTCCAAGGTCTCAGGTATGGGCAGCTTGTTGTACTTCTTAGGCACCCCTTCTTCATTACACCTTTCTGGAGCTCTGACAGTTGATAGTTCCCTCCTTACTACCTTGATCTCCTTCTCCATGGAGGGCACTGCTGCTGTGGTGTAGATCAGCTTGTTGGTTTAGGTGATGGTTGCAGTAGGGTTTGTCCATAATGCTGCATTCAAATCTTCTAGTAGCACTTCTGAGGGTGCTTTACTTACTCTTGTTAACCACCTACCAATGGTCAAGGTTTCCTGCTTTGCCATGAATCCTATCTTTTAGGCAAGCTGCTCTTGCACTCAACATTCCTTCTGACAAACCTGATGCTTGGTACCCAATCTTGTTTGGAGCTGATGATATCTCCCCACTGACCTGAAGCCCTTGGTCCCCCTTGCTGCAGCATTTGTATTTTACTTCATCGATCTCGAGTTGGGATAGCAGTTCCTTTCGCTTAATGTTGTAACACTGACCTACTAGTTGTTTCACCATCATCTGGATGTTGGGTATTGAAGATTTCATAGGTCCCACATCATCTTCATGTCTCAGGAAGCTTCTTTTTAGACATGCTAGTGCTGTCAGAAAACGTTCTTATTTTCTCCTTTATAGCTTTTAAAAAAAATCTCGTCAGCATCAAAAAGGTTGAGTTTCTTTTGAAAACGGGATTGTGTCTTTCTATCAGTTATATAAATGGGGTGGACAATGCATTCAAATTGCATTATCTTTTGATATAAGGCAATATAACAGGACAAATCACAGTCTTAACAGTTATGATAAAATTGTATCAACACATCTCAGGTTTTCTGATTTCGGTTTCCGGATATCGTGTGATATTAAACTCCACTAATTTAAGCTACATATACATAAACTGGCATCTGAGTGAATGTTTTTAATACTGCTGATAAAATTATGAAACGACCCAAAATAACAGTAAATGTACCTTCCTTACAGTAAGTGAAATGAGTGTAAGTTGTTACCGTGTACCATAAAGAGGCATTGTTCTTGAGATCCTATAAATAACAAATCAGTATGTCACACAGTCACAGTGACTAGAGGATGAAAACAGATTTTACAAATGAATGTGGAAAAAGAATATCAATTTAATGTCACTTTTTAAAACTTCTGATTAAAATTAAACAAGGGATTAGCCATTAGCTGTTTCTTCCAATTGCTTAGCAGTTAGCTTTGTGTTGACCATTAAATTCTTACTTTTGTTATTTATTTATTTTTAATTTTCAAATCTGATATACCAGTCTCACAAACACACAAATACCCTCCATGCCTAATGTGACCATATTTGACAAAGACGTTAAAGACATTTCCTATATTTTTCATTTGTCCAAGTTCATTTTGGAAGTATGGCATGTTGTTTTATTTAGTGTTGTGTAATTTTCTGTTTTAAAAAATCAGTTAACTTTAACATCTTAGTTTCTAAACATGCAAATAAAAATGAAAAAATGTTTTTGCTTTGTAGTTGTTAGTATTTTTATGGGATTTACTGACATCAGAGAGAAAAAATGCATCAGTATAATGGTGAACATTTTTTTTTTTAATTGGACTTTCTGTGATTTCAAAAATATTTTTCTCTGCTCCTGCATCACACTGAAACACTCACAATCATAACTACAGTCAGCATCTCACCTTTAGGTACTGTGGTGATGGTGGAGCATACACACAGCTGTTCATTATGTAGGTGCGACAGTTGAGGTCCTGGCCTTTTGTCTTCACCAATAACTCCACAGGACTGTACGCTCCTAATGTCACGTTCTCCTGACTAAGTGTGTAAACAAATGTTACACGTCACGTTGACCAGGAGGACACTGAATAAAATCTATGAGAAAAAAACAACTTTACCTGTCAAGAGACTCTAGATCAGACACGTTCATCCTCCACACCACACCCCACACCTCGTCTCCAGGGCTGTGCTCTATGGTGGCAACACCTCCATGCCATCGGTCACTAGCAAGGCCTTTGTGGTTCCCAAAAACCAGTTTATAGTCCTGAAAAGTGACAAAAGGAAGGAATAATTAAATGTGTTCATATGGGAGAGCTTCCCCTTTTTTCTCAGCACATCATACCTTGAGCCTGGCTACACAGTGCACTGTCGCAGAGGGATTCTTGAGCTGAAGACGTTCCTTTAGCAGGTTACTGCCATATGCAAAGTACAGGAAAGTGTGGTTATCCCCCATGTTGTCATCAGTCTCTGTCAGGAGGAAAATTAGAACCAGATGGACTGATGGAAAGAAAATTATGCACAGACACAGAATAAAGCAACACT